GATCTTGCCACGTTGTTCAGTGCTCAACTACAGCAATTCCGTCCTGAGCGGTTAGTGCTTACAGAGACACACTCAAAAGGCAAGTTTTTGTTTTCTAAAATGAAGGGATGATTTTTTTTTTCCCTCACAACTATGCACTGGTAGCACAGAAAGGGTGGGAAGCCCTAGCAAATGAGGGCATTCGTTCACATCTTTGGCCTGCCAGCAATTCCTGTTTCAAATAGCAGCATTGATTCTCTAGTCTGATTTAATTTTTCTCTGCTAGTGGAAATTCCTCCTTTAAGGCAAAATTTGCTTCGGTTAATAGCTGGCCCTTTTCATTATGCAATACAACTGGGAAACTTGTTTTCAGGTACCAGACAAGGTAAATAAAAATCTGCCACTCCTCTGAATTTAAGGAGTCTCTTTCATTTAAACTGTATTGTCCACCAGGGTAAGAGTTTCCGGGTTGATCTCTGATTTCAAAGTGATCAAACTGACAAAGGTGTCACACCCTGACCTGGGTAAAGAGTCCTGTGTCCTGGGAAATTTGGGGAGGTGATGTGAGGAGGTTCTCAGCAGAACAGGTTTGGTGGTAAAAAGGTCTTGGATTAATGTGCCGGGGAGGTGATGTGAGGAGGTTCTCAGCAGAATAGGTTCGGTGGTAAAAAGGTCTTAGATTAATGTGCAGCACAGGTGATTAGATAAATCGGTGTTCTTGGCAGCGAGGGACCATAGAGACTTCCTGCCCATGGATATGTGCGAGGACCAAGAAAGGTTAATTGCAGCGCGGTTGGAGATGTGACTGGAATGTGTGCTAATTCTGCCCTCCCCAAACGCTCGACATATTTTAGCTGCCTGTCAGTGCGCATCCAATGATACCATTGCTTGCATGCCAGGCATGCCTTTAAACACCTTTCAGGCTTTTAAAAAACCAACAAAACTAGCAGCAAATAACCAGCACATTATTCTGATACCCCAGCCTAGGATAAATATGGTTTTAACTTACAAAAGCTGCCAATGCACATGCACGCAGACACTTCCTCAGGCACACCCAGACACGCTCCTGAAGCGCTCTCTTCCACATAAATCAAATTTCCCACCTAGTATAGAACAAGCTTAGCTGAGAAGGTAGCTAAGCTTCCAAAACATGGATATTGCTTTGATGGAACAAAGCTCTTGGAAAGATCAGGGAACTTTCAAGATAATGAGTCACACCCTGATACTCTTCCTCTCTAGACTGTTTCTGTCAATATGTCTTTAGTATCTCAGCTCGTGCTTTGGCTCCTTTCTTTGTTTTTGTGATAGATCTGGGTTCCTGGCCTGGTAAGATCACCACAGCCCTGCCCCTCTCCTGATACAGATATACCAGTTGCCTGTGATGTTCTCAAGGTGTTAATCTTATGTTTAAGGCTAATAAGCCTCATCTTATCCACCCTGCACATTAACCTTGGGCAGTTATTAGGATAAGCGCTCTGCCTCGTTGACTGTCTGTGACCAGAGCTCTCTCTCCCCATGTTTCTGAGAATGGTTGCTGGCTGCTCTCCTCTGCAATCCTCTGTGGGTCCCTCCTGTGGAAATCAGTGGGAATTTTCCATCCAAACCAGTGGGAAATCTCATGGATCGCAATGTAAAAAGATCCTAACAGCTGAGTCGTAAAGCTACTGATACCTCATGAGCTCTGTGACAGCAGAACACGTCTAAATTAAGTGATGAATAAAAAGAAAGCTATGTATTTCCCTTAGATGATGAACATTCAGTCCAGACCCTTTGCTGACAGGCTGTGGATTTAAAGATCGAAAACATTTTCAGACTACAGTTATTTAAGGCCACAGAAGGTCCATATTTTCAGGGACACTTTACCTGTTGTTGTTGCCTTTTACTTCCTTGGTCTTCCCTTGAAGTCCAGTAATAACGTCCATCACCTTGCAAGATAAGAAAAATAGATTAATTAAAGTCCAAGACAGGTGTGTAAAACCTGGTAAACTGATACAGTCAGCAAAGAATGAAATAGCAGAGAGTAGCACTGGCAAGCTACAGTATCAGACAAAATATCAAAATTCTTTCTCCTGCGTAAGTCTTTTTCTCTGCTTTTGGTCTGAGCTGGGTGTAGATTCCTGTTTGTCCTGTACTTAGTTACTGAATTCAGAATAAACTTCTTTCGCTCTGCAGCCGTTTCTAGCATGATCTTTGAAGTCAGGGATATGTTGGCGGCCGTAACAGGCCTAGGCTTAAGGTCTGTCAGTTGAGAGCTGTAACACGCCTGTTGTGCGCTCTTGTGAAAACAGACCATCCCCTGGGACACAGGGGCAAGGAGAAGGTGGCTATGTGGGACATGTGATATCTGCTTCTTCCTGCGTTTCCATTCCTCTGTTGTGAGCTGCACCCCAACCAGCACAGCACCATCCCAGCAGATTTGGCTCCGGGGTGCTCCATCCGCACCAGTTTCCCGTAAACTCTGTGCCTTGGCACTGCAGGTGCTGGAGAGTAGGTGGAGAGCTGGAGTGTTATTTATCAAACAACAAACTCAATAGGCAAAACGCAGATATGTTGCTGACAAGCCTGACCCATACAATGAGATTGTGAACTAAAATAAAAGCTTGAAACAATCTTCTTCCGTGTTTGAGTACACAAAGGGCAGAAATGTTGCCTCCCTAGCTCAAACAAAATTTAATGGCAGATAATAAGGGATTGAGGCTTGTTTCAGAGCTCGTGGCAGAACGACTTGGTCTGGTACTGAGTGCAAATCTCCTGAAAATGTAGCAGTGCCTTCAAAATAAGTCCGCAGTAAACACTAAAAGCTTATTGGTAAGCCTTTACATGCATATGCAATACTTTCTAAACCAAAAATGTAAGACCTCAAATATGCTTATAATTTAAATGAAATTCAGTTAAACTACAGAAAGGGATTTTTTTAAGCCAGGGCTTAAAGAGTTGGACTGAATTCGTGCCTCAGTCCCAGCCACCGACAATATCACACCACACAGACGAGCTTGTGCTTCAGTTCCCGTTGACAGTATGAAGGCAGCAGCGTGTCCCTTCTTTTGTTTATTCAGAATTTTCCTCACAACCCACAAGCAATGATGCAAGAGGAGAATAGGACTCTCTTCACATGAGGAATTCTTTTTGTCCCTGGGTCAATGGAAGAGTTTAGCTCTGCAGCACCTTTTATAACTATGCACAAACCACTCAGTTGTTTTATTCAGATCTCGCTTACGCGTCTCAGAACATTGTTCCGTGGGCATAGAGGGTTGCTTTAAAGTAACAAATTCCAATGAAAGTAGTAGCAATTGGGTGAGAGTCTCAAAGGACCATTATTACACAGGGAAGTTTCGGAAGCATCTGTACCGCAACTAGGCAGAAAACCAGACTGCATCGACTAATTATTTTAAATAACTTTGAATTAAATAATAAACTTAGAATCACAAGACTCAGCTTTGTCCGTACGTCTAGCCTGCCTCTTTGGAAGCTCTACCAGTTCCTTCCTTTGGGATCTACTTCAACCTCCGGTCTTCAAATTTTCGCTGGAGAGCCAATGTCAGGTCGGCATCCCTAAAGAAATAATTAAAAGATATATAAAGCCTGAGATAATTAAGACAGCTATTTTCTATATTTTGAAGAGCTTGTCTGACTTGGGGCAGGGGTGAGGGCTTGTCATGATTTCCATGCCTTCTAACAGAAAAATACACAAGGAAAGGTCTGAAACATGACAGTTATCACTGGGCAACTAGGTTAGGGCTTCCAGCTGAGTTTTGCAAGTCTTGAAACAATGACTTCATTAGGTACTGCAGCCAGAAAAGCTTTGACAATCAAGGCCCACATGAGTACTCTGGTCAAGCAGTGCTCTCAGAGTGCATCAGCCAAGAACATCACAACTAAACTCCTAGTTCCACTTCCCGTCAGTGAGCTTAACTTCAAAATACAACTGAACAGGCTCTCCTCTACCTTGCAGACACACACAAGTATTCCTGTATTTAATTCCCAGAATTTTACTCTCCCGAAACATCACCAAGAACCTGCAGCCTACTTGTGAATACAATTAATCTAAAAGAACAGCTTCACAATGCAATAAAAATCTCTTTTAATAAATAGCAGATGGTTTGACCAGGAGTCTGATTGGAAAATAACAAACTGCAGACCTGGGGCTGGTTTCCTCCAGAGGAAAGCCTTGCCCTCTGGCAGCCACTCAATAAATAGGAAACATTTAGTCTTCAGCCCCAAAACCCACACTCCTTCCAAGCACTGGTGGGAAGGAAGTGTGAACTCAACCACCCGCTGAGATCTCGAGCAGGCACGCAGCGCCAATACTACCTCATCTTGTATTTTAATCAGCTTCTGACACAAATTACTCTCCCACACTTGTGGAGCACTCCGCAAGTGGCCGCAGCTAGTGAGAAGATAACTTCATTCTGGGTTACAAACGTTTCAGGACTGGGACAGTCTACTCTCTGCAGGGTTCAAAAAAGCTCTCTGACCCAATGCACTTCTTCAAATTGCTACAAATTTTCACTGGCCCTGCAGAATCTCAACTTCTTTGCAAATGCTGGTAAAGATGATCCGCACCCTCCCTTTATCTATCCACCCGTCTGTCTGCACCCTCCCTACAGCAACTGTATGTAAACTGAGTCAGCACCTGCAGAGGCTGGATGCTGGTGCCGAAGAGAAGTTCTCTGCTGACAAAAACTGTTCTGTTTCTTCGCTGGCACAAAGCATGTACCAGTGCCTAGGTCATACTGCTGCCTCAGCATAGGAACACACCAAAGGGAAACATATCTTTTCTGTAGGAAAACAAGCAAGGACCACTTTATTTCTGTTCTGCTTTCAGATGAAGAAAAGAAAACAAAGCATTTTCATTACTGCATCAACTTTATTTTTATGTCATAGGTTTGTTGCACTGTAAGCTTAGGACAGGGAAGTTGAGTCTAGCGCTGAGTTTTGTTCCAGTTGGAGAACATGGCTACCATCACAAAAGCATGAGAAGAAACAGCCTTTTCCACGCAGCAGAATGGTCAAGATGCAGACTAATGGCCTTGTTCACAGATAGTAATGCCCAAAATGAATGGGATTCCAGCATGGGCACAGCCTTGAACAGACAGTGGTCCTAAAAGAAACAAGATTTTACCAGTGACGAGATCCCTGAATCCAGCAAGGAAAAGACTGTTAAAAACACAAATTTCAATCCCCAGTTACGGTCGTGTTTGAGGCTCCTGTTGGTCTCAGTGGAAAGTGTGTGAAACTTCTATGGTGTGACTCCAAGGGAGGAAACGTCTGTGCAGCTTTAAATCACCTTTGGGCTCATCCTTTCCCACAGCTCTCACGGAGCAGGCAGCAGATGCCTCGTGGGACCATCGCGTCATGGGGGCTCAAGCTGGGTACAGCTGCTCCACACTGGCTTCCTCTGACACACCCCCCACCCCTTTGGAACAGCTGTTCCAGATGTTTAGATCCCTTACCGACAAAAATCAGTGCTTTATCAGATTTTTCCAAAGCATCCCAGAGCCTTACGCTTTCAAACCTGCTAGGTAGCTGACTCCTCCTCTCTAAAGCGAGGCAATATGTTCCTTCCTCAAAGGTACCACGGGAGCTCGGGTTGAAAGGCTAGAAAGGTGCTTACTCACTGTAACAGCAGCAGGATGTTCTGATCCTGTAACTCACCTGCAGATTTCACAAGCTGGTAGAGAGGCAGGCCAGAGCAGAGTCGTTCAATGGGTCTGCCATAGCGAAACCAGTTTTTGAGATTCCCAAACCAGGAATTGCCACTCTGGTACTGTACCCAGACGTTCTTTGGAGAGTATAATCTCTGCATAGTCTAAACAGAAAACATTAGACATCATCAGTAATGTAGCTTCGGTTTCATTCTACTACAACATCCTTTGAGAAATTTCCAAAATCTAAATTCACCTTCCTTTGCCTCACACAAAGCAGTAGCTAAAGAAGCTAGATCCTTTTAAAGAAAAATAAATATTTCAATCTATTCAGAAACAAAGTGTGTTAGATACTAATTCTGCCAACATAGCAAAATTGAGCTATGCTCCTATAATGTTATTTTAATTGGCAGTAAGTTTTGCTGTGAATATGCTACTGTTATGCTGTCATAAAATGGGCCAGAACTCAAGTTCATCTCCAGCCAATAGCTCCAGTCACCTTCATGAAACCTTTGCCTGAATAGGAAAGTCAAAGTCTGGTCAAAGTAAACCAATTTCTAAACTCTGTTCTGCAAACAAAATTATTTTGAGTTATGTCAAGCTCAAAATACCAGCACGACAATGAAAAAAAAAGGAGAAGCCTGTGGTGATCACCTCAAAATAGTCAAATCACACTGCTTCCGAGGACAGGGCGTCTTACAGTTCTAGTCGCCATGACTATAAAACTGCAGGGGGCCATGACTGCTCATTATTTTAAAAGAATGTTCTGCATGATAATCCCTTGAAGTTCTGTCTTGTCAGATCTGCTTCATCATTGCTAATGCAGTAAAAGATATTCCTAAGAACATCTGCTCTTAAAGGCAGAGCGGAGGGCTCCCACCACACCACCCAACACTGATACAGAAGTCTTTCTTGTGTACAGTACGGGATTCATGACAAAGTCACCTTTCTCTCAAAAGCCAGGCGTCCAAGTTCTTCCAGCTCTGGGATGACATCCTTGTCTATTTTCATGATAAAGCAGGCCTTTCGTGACAGCAGCCTGGTTGCAATATAGCCCTGTGATTAAAAAAATATAGTTAATTAAATAATTACAAATGACTACCACTAATATTAGTTGATTCTCTCTTCTCTTTAGGACAGTCTAGAAGAAACACAAAGTGGCTACAGAGGCTGCTGCCGTGGAATGCCCCTG